GCTCTGTCATCCCAGGGTAATTCTCACTCAAGCTGCCTTTTCTCTTCCTATTCTTGAACAGTTTCTCCCTTAGAGTTGGTATCAAATAGAATAGCTTCCCCTTCGATTGCTTTTCCCACCATCTCAAAATTTGGTCATAAGTGCATTGCAAAATACGTTGGGCAGTTGGTATTCTCCTTCATTAGTTTCCAATAGATGACTGATTAATTAAAATCTACCATCATCACCATCCCCTGTACTCTGCCAATATAAATCCCCACCTACCTGATCTGTTTGGTGGTCTGTGCAATGCCTGCATAACGATGGAGCTCATGAGCTTTTCCCCTTTTAGCATTACTTATAGAGCATCAGTATACCCAACTCCCTCTACAGCTGAGTCACAGGACAAATATCTGAACCCGATACATAACAGCAACAGCCTCTTCCTCCTCCCTGTCCTCCCACCGCGTCTTTGCTATGCTAGTTCAGTCACACTGTTGCTCATGGATTAAGATTTCAGGTCCTCTTGTTTATTCCCCGTATTTCCTATATTATTATACAAACAACTTCTGAAGTAGTGACCAGGTAGACCCATTACCCTCCTCATTACCCCATACAATTAAGACAATTTCATGGCAAAGCATACCATTGCACATATTATTGCACATATTATGCAGAGTGCCAATGGAAGTCTTAGTCCTCACTGTATAAGGCACCCAGCAAACACTAAAATGTCAACTTTATAAAACTTGGCATCTTCAAAAACTTAAAGAAATTTGATACAAGTTCCTCTGGAACTGACTGAAAGATTCCTACCAAGTTAACTAGGAACTGGATTTAGTCCCAAATAATTACAAATGCCCACAAAAGGAAGTCTGCAATCTGTTGAACAACTGTAATATTTTACCTCTACATAAACAAAATGTTCCTACTGACTGTTTTATGGTACTATAGTTACTTCAGTCTTGTCTGAAATAAACTTTAGGGGATTTTATTTAAATAGCAGCAATAACAACATGCGAAGTAAGCACCATAACCCATCATAATGTAAATCACTACTTTGTTTCAGCTGGTATCAGCCTCTGTGCCCTAGTGCATGTATGTGTACATGGGAGTCAACAAATCTGTATTACAGATGGGCGTATGAATAGTCTGTCTCAGCCTGAGGTACAGTTACATCCTGTCCTTTCCTCCGATAAAACCTCTACATGAAAAAATTATACAAACCAGGAATTTAATTGAATCGCTTTGATGTTGTTATCCCAGAATTGACAGGTCTCAGAGAGCCTGGCTGAATATTTAACAGTCTTCCAGACCACACAAAAGAAACTGAATTTAGCCACATCCATGCCCATCCTGAATCATCTTATCAGTCCCTTTCACATAGCCTGAAGCAGGATCAGTCCAGAAAGAGAGTATGTTCCTGAGGTCTTCTGTGTCATCTAGTGTCTCTGCTCTAACTTCACTCTTCTCTGCTAGAAGAGTCAGTCTCATTAACTATTATCAGCAGGTGCCTTCATTAAATATTTCTTCTTTATCACTGATTACAGACAATATATTTAAGAACTGCAGTTTCTCCTGACTAGTGCCCATCTGCCCAAATTTTAAAATGATTTATTCTTATCATCTGTGATGAGAAACTTACTCTTGTAGTTACAATTCTGTACTTATTTTGCCTTGGCTTATCTTTTTGCCATAATCAAGGATGCATCTTTCGTCTGGGTCGCAACTTAAAGATTATACCAATGTTGTGGTTCTGCGGTTTTAAATATGGAATTTCCTTTCCTTCATTGCTTATTTCAGTAGCCTGTCTTACAGACTTTATAGTTTAGTAACATATTAATTTCTAAGTGCATACCACTAGATGTCTCATGGAAAAACTTGATACATTTTACTTCTGTTCTTGAAATATGGTCTCTGACATTACTACGGTCCACTGAATTTCATGGCACGAACATTGGGGTTTGGCACATGAGAATACCAATGACATAAAACATCTAAAACTAAATGAGATGCCTCTTATGTAGACATCTGCAGAAGTCGTCTGGATTCCAATTACAGTCAATGGAGAGAAACGGGCACATGTACGAAGTGATTCATCTGACCTGTATTACATGTCCAGATCAAGATGAGATTAATTAAAAATGTGACTAATTGGCTGAGATAAATCCCATCCCTCTTGAGATGAGTCCTGTTAGTTATAACAAGCTGCAAGATTGGTTCCCCCACTTCTCCATTTAGTCCATATTTCTTGGAAAACAAAGAAATTCATCATCTGATGATGATGACAGCTTGTTCATGCAATAGCACACCTTCTTTATTCATTTTGTGTATTTCAGGGACACAGTCTGTGGTCCCCATCTCTTTTGTCTAAGGCTTATTCTGAACCGTTCCACTGCTGGTGGCTGCAATACTCATAGTGTTCAGTATTTTATTTTTCTACCTCTCCAGCTCATTCCACACTCCCGGCAGTACACAGTGACTTTATCATGCTCAAATGCCCTGGCACATTTTGCTATGTATCAGTGCTGAATGCAATACTCAAATCACTGCTCAAAAAGCAGTTCTAATACTGTTCTTAGGGACCTATTTCATCCCATGCATAATTATGGCATTAAAAAATAGTGATACAAACACTGTACATATTTCTCCATTGGTTGCTAAGCTCAACTAAGTGAAACTATTTTTATTCCATTTTTCCAACCGAGGGTTACGTTTCACATATAATTCTCCAAGATGGACACAAACACAAACAAGCCCAAATACATCAACGCAAAGTATTTGTAGGAAAAATCTGAACTGTCAAAAGGCAGGTCATTATTAAAATACACATGCACTGAAAACCGCACACAACTCTAGATGGATTGTTTTGTCAGC